ACTTGGATACTAAATGGATTACTTAAAGAAAATGGCTATCTGATGATGATTGACACCATCATGTCAAGCTGTAAACAGGTCACCTACAAGCTCAATAGAGAGGTCAAGAGAACTTTTCTGTCTTTTTTTTTTTTTTGGTTTCAAGAAGAGACTTTACAGCAAACAAAAAGCAAACATGTTTCCCTATACATAATAAACTCTCTCTAGGGCAGTTTTTCTCAACTTTGTTTCAGTCATGGCACCATTTAAAAGTATGCAAAATCTCAAGGCACCCCAGTCTAAAAACAATGTCTTAAAACAATGTAAATGTAAAAAACAACGTGTGGCTCCTCCAAAATTCTCTTTCACATTAGGAGCCCTTTTTACATCAGCTGCCCCCTTCACATCAGAAGCTCCATCTCCCCCTTTTGCAACAGAGCCCCCCTCTTTCAGACCAGAAGCCCCCCTGCACATGAGTCCCAGAGCAGGAGCCCCCCTTCACATCAGGAGCCCTGCACAGAGGCTAACTTCAGTCCTTTCCTGAATGGATCCCACCCTCCCTAGGTTAGCGTAATTAATTTCCATGGTGCTGGCGGCTGGCTGGTTCGAGGCACCCCTGAGGAAGCCAGAAGGTATCCTAGGGTGCCGCAACACCCTGGTTGAGAAAGGCTGCTTTAGGGATTGGAAATATACCTAAGTAGATGGCTGCTCAAGCTCCCCAGTATTCCCCACCCTTGCAGTGTGGGCTACCCCCACACTGCAAGGGTTAGGTCAGGGGTAGCCAAACTAGCCGATACTCCGAGCTGGCCGGCTGTGACCGTGCTCCCTCTAGCCTGTCCTCTCGTCCACTGCAGTGATGGTATGTCCCTCTGTGTCCTCACTTCCTATACACTGTGTCACTCGGGACCTTAGACCACTGCAACGGAGGGGGAGAGAGACTCCAGAGACCTAATAGCCTGGGGGTCTAAGGGCAAATTGGTTCCAAGGATCGGGTGAGTATTTATTTTTGATGTTTGAACCTAGACACAAACAAGCATGTAACCCTTGCAATGTGGATGTAGCCCCACTGCAAGGGTTAATACATTTTTACCCGGAGTTCTGCTTTTTTCATAAACACTGCTTTACTTCACTTCCAGGGCCCTCTGGCCTCTATGTACTGTATATATAAAATGCACCCCTGCCTGAAAAGCCAGTTTGTTTTTTTAGCATAGAGTGGATGAATGATGATCTCCTCAATATAGAGAAAGCACCTCTGCATGTATTGTCCTATTTCTGGCTGAATGCATAGCCAAAGCACAGGTTCACTTTATACACAACGCCAGCTGAATGCCAGTCTTGTGGGACTGACTCAGTTAAAGGCAAAAATTCATAAATGCACACATATTCCTACAAAAAGATGCATTTATTGTTTGCATTGGAGCCAGTAAGGCATTGAAACTGCAATGTGATCACGTTTCATGTTACGCCCTGAATATGAGTATAACATAATACATGGTCACAAGGGGAAACTTAGCCTTTAATGAGACTGTGAGAAAGTAAAACGTATGGAGCTTTTAATCAATGAGCTTAGCTCCTTTACTGTGTGGAAATGGATGCCAGCTAGCTTTCACATTGTCAATATAAGCAGGCAATACTTAATTGTTACAATATATATACTGTAGGTCTCCTGGTTTATGTACATAGTTCTTTTCTACTCATACACAGGTAACCATGAGAAAAAAAGAAATAACCGTTTATGAATCAACAGACACCAAGTGCTGCTTCTTATAAAACTTCCTATACACGTCAGCACCATCTAGATTCTAGGGTGATGTCTAGCTATACACTGGATGTTTTGTAAATGAATCCCAAAGCCATGTTTTCATTTATATGTAAACCCAATCACTAAAATCTGATATAAGATTTAAGGCATGTGCCCCATGTAATTTTGAATGCATCACAGACTGTTCCTATATCAGACAGAATGGTTCTTCCATACAGAAGTACTGACACTACAGTTATGTACTACTGTGTGAAGGACATTCAGGACTCAAGGTCTTTCATGCACTTTTTTCCTACCAAAAAATATAGCTAAATGTACATTTAATCACTTCCCCAGATTCCAGTACAGCAAGAAACCGATAACTCTTCTTCTAATGTATTACTTGCCATTTAATATCTCAATAGGAACCCAAAAACACATGGACAAGGTAATTATTAAGACACTGGCTGCATTAATTCGAGCAAGCAGAACTGTTACACAATGTTCTAAAGGAAATACAATTCATTCTGTTGTATTAAAGCATTCTTTGCAAGTTATGAGGCATCTTTCAAACATTAAAGGCCGTGTCCCAATTACAAGGTACACAAAAGTGTAGCAGGAAGTTTTCTTGGGCAACCCTAGCCCCAGCTTCCCTGTAAGACTGGCAGATATGAAGACAGTTCATACACAGAGGTGATTCAGACAGCTCGCTATGACGAATACTCCCGCTCTGTAATTATCAGATTTTTTACTAGCCGATCATTAATTACTATTGATTGATTGATTGTTTTACTTTATCTGGTCAGCTTTGAGAACTTTAAACATATTCAATGACAAAAAAAACCAAAAACTTATTAGGTCTCAATTTGGCCATATGTATGTATGGTGGCACGCGTACGCATTTATTGTTTGGTACAGTAAAACATACACATTCATATTCAATGAGTGCCCATAACTATGAAAATCCTTTATTCACAGTCTAATACAGGGCAGAAGATCTGTCACGTTTGTGGTGTCTGCTGAGGTGTGAGGTACTCAAAAATATCCTAATCATCTTGTGAATCTGTAGAGAGGGCTCAACGATAGATATTTAATGAATGTGCATCCTAAAGTGTGTTCTTGCGTTAAACTGATACAGGTAGCCATCAATTTACGCCAGGGTTAGGTTCCTGAAGGAATGGTTGCAACTAGAAACTGAAGTAAATTCAAACCCAGTATATAATGTAAGTCAATGGGAAGTGAGGGAGTTAGGTTCTAGGCCTCTCTCAAAAATGACATAAGTGACATAATACATTATATTTAAAGCTTTGAAATGAATGTTATTAATGCTAAACCGTATTATACACAGTATAAAATAACCACACAACAGAGTATGCATCATCAAACTAAGTTTATTGAACTTCTGTGGCTCCTCTGTATCTCCAAGTGTACCCCTGTGCTCTTCTGTAGGTCCAAGTGTACCACTGTGCCCCCAGCACGTCTTTATGTGCCTGTGCACAGTATCTCTGTGTATCCCTGTGCCACCAACGCATCTCCAAGTGTGCCCCTGTATCCCCAGCGTGGCTCTAAGCACCTCCATATCTTCACGTGTGCCTCCAAAACTGTGAGTGTCCATAGGTACCTCATTGAGAAGAGCCCCTTCCTGAGCTGCAATCCTTCACCTGTGCCGCGCCCCCCGGTGCAGCAGTTCTAAATCTGTACTATAGCCATGTGGAGTTGTAGAGAGGTCCCCTGCATATCCTTCCACAGCTGAGGTCTGCGGCGGAAGGATATGCTAGGCGGCACTGACTCTGCAGTGGTTTCAATGGCAGTCACGTGACAACCCAAAAAGGGCGTTGTTTTGAAACCGCACAAATGGAACCGGCGCAAACCGAGGGCTACCTGTGTACTGACCATGCACTATTGTAGAGAACAACAATTTGATGAAAACCCACGGCATCGGTTACAGAGATTTTCTAGAATGCTATAGATTCTCTATAACCAGATATTCAATATTATTATTGATTGCTTCTCATAGAAAAGAGGAAAGACTCTTTTACACAAAGGCCTGCTCCACAGAAACTTTTAAAAGTTTAGAAATATATATTTTTTATTTTAGGTATGCTATTAGATTAGGAACACATAGCAAACATATGAGTGCAGTTCTCTCAAATTAGTATTAAACTAAATGTATTTATTAAATAAAATTCTGGTTTAACATTTTCTCGTCCTTTTTTGCATCTGGACTGCTGATCTCCTCAAGAGACTTTCAGCCACTTCCTGTCTACATGCATGTGCTCCAGCCCTGGCTGCACATCATTGCTCAGCACTGGCTTCTTAAAAGAGAACTATGGGGTAAGTGTTTTTCCCCATAGTTCTCTTTAGAGTCACGGTAGGACATATACTAGCCTCCTCCAGTGACCCAAAGCTCAGTATGTAGCGAGCTATTGCCCGCAATATACTGAGAGCGCCACAGCCGGGATGGATCCCGACAATACTGTCTGGATCCCGACAATACTGTTTGGATCTACCCAGCTGCGTGAGTGACAGCGGGCTCTGCCTATCTAGAGGCAGAGCCAGCTGTGCCTGCCCCCTCCTCCGTCCGTTCCTCCACTTAGCACTAGGTCTGGCTAAGATATGCTATTAATTTAATTACACTGCATCTGTGAAATGAACTTTAGCTATTTTTTATTATATTATATGAGTGATTCACACAAACTGATGCAGAGAACATGTCATATAATGATGGCAATTGCTTTTATAAGGGAAGCCTGGTAGAAGCTACAGCAGGCTCTCTGAGGACATCTGTGGCCACATACACCTTAATAGATGGTACAGAGAGCATGCTGTTTATTTTTTAAGTCTGGTCACATACGGTACGTGTTTATACCCAAAATGCCTAAAAAAAGTGTATGTGCTCTCACTGTGATCTTGTGTATGAAAGGAGGAGCGGGATGGATTGGCCAAAAAACAACCGAGACGCTTTATATATACTAGAACAAAGAAACAGCAGGACAAGAAACCAAATATCTTGTACTATTTGTATTAATATTTACAATGTTATTACAATGTTATTAAATCAAATACTAATATTTTTTGAAGTATATAGACGTGTGTGTGTATATATATATATATACAGTAGATACGTGACCCAGTTTAGATTTTAAGCATCATTATTTGGCAAGGTCTGTCACATTTTAGCAAGGAATCAGGTCTGTGCTTTGTTACATTCTTTTCTGGAGTTAAATTACCAGCATGCTGACAGTTCCATTCAATGACTTCTATTTTCTCTCTTATGAAGGTGCCAGGAGCTACATTGCCGCAGCCCATAATCACTTTCCAGGGGAACCAGGGGGTAAGTAACCTGTATCAGGTTGTACTGATTTTATTAAAAATGTTGCATGTACACATGCAAAAACGTGGGCTGTCAATTCCTTGTATCTTACAATACAAAAAAAAGGTAAAATGCTTAAGAAAGTACATTACTTTGAAATGCACATTTCAGTGTACCTTTCTCCATAAAATTTAACCTGTTAAACTGGGGACCATTTCTATATTCAAGAACTCTACAAATTTACTTTGCTGTTGCAACCCTAACTAATGATGGCCTTTGGTTCAGTCTAGTTGTTTCAGCTGGTCTGGACCTTTTGATGGGTGAAGTGACGGGTGGCCTGATATGCTTGCTGGGTCATGATTATTAATATTCATGTCTCTCTGCTTGTAATTATTAAATAATGATGACATGTAATATTGGTGCTAAATGAAGAAAAAGTTCTGATATATACTGTGAAATAGACTGTTTCTAAGACAATTACACATAATATTGAATAAACCCCCCTGTAATTTCCTAATCTGCTTGGCTTTGGCCTAGGAGCAGACACATAAGGGGTTATTCACAAAGCTGCCGTAGGCAGCCGAGTGAATAACCAACCCGAAGTGAAGTGAGCCGAACGCTGTTCGGCTATTCACTTCAGGCTTGTACGGCTGATTTCAGCCATACACCGACTAAAATCAGCCGTACATCGGCTTGCTGCTGCTGGTTTCGGGTCGACCAAACATGGTCAGCATGTTCGGCCGACCCGAAGTGCAGAAGGAGTTCGACTCAGCCGATCCAACATCTGGATCGGCTGAGCCGAACCTCCGGCAGGCTACTTGCTGCTTTTCGGCCTATTCTCATAGATGAAATTGCAAAACAATACCGGCACCTTCAAATCCAAAAAGAGCCCAGCAGTAAAAATACAGCAAACATGATGGAGGCAGCTCCCACCGATTAGATGGACCACCAGTCTATGAGAAAAGGAACAAAAGAGAGCGCCTCCATAGTGTAAAAATCTTATTTAATAGTAAAAACACGCAGCTCTAAGGCTGTACTTACAACAGTTCGGTAAAATAAAAACCAGTAGAATAAGGTGAGAGGACGGAACCCCGGGCAGGGAGAATCTGGAGCGATGTAAAACACCAGTAACCTCGATCCCTGTATTGATAAATGGTTTACGCGTTTCTGGGGCACGCCCCTTCATCAGAACCTTGGTCCCTTGGTTCTGATGGGAGAGCCGGCAGTGATATGAAAGCCGACTCTGCTAAGCTCTCATCTTAATGACCTTGGTTCCTTGGTTCTGATGAAGGGGGCGTGCCCCAGAAACGCGTAAACCATTTATCAATACAGGGATCGAGGTTACTGGTGTTTTACATCGCTCCATATTCTCCCTGCCAGGGGTTCCATCCTCTCACCTTATTCTACTGGTTTTTATTCTACCGAACTGTTGTAAGTACAGCCTTAGAGCTGCGTGTTTTTACTATTAAATAACATTTTTACACTATGGAGGCACTCTCTTTTGTTCCTATTCCCATAGATGCCGAACAGCAGTGAGTGAATAGCCGAATGCCGCTGAGCGGCATTTGACTCGGCTATTCTGCTCGGTACCTCTGGTGGTACCGAGCAGAATAGAAAAACAGTCACAGTAAAAAAAAACAAAAAAAAAAACGATTGGGTAGAGCTACCTCCGCCCAACTGTTTTCTATTGGCCGGGACCAGCTGTCATTACAATGAGAGCATACTATGAAGCTAAAAAGTGGCTACCACTACTATCAGCTTGTTAGTGGCTTGTTTAGTGAAAGGAACTGAAAGGCAATAGGCCTGGCAGGGTTTGATTTCAGTGTTTGTTTTTTTGGGAGTTTTTTTTATTGGTGTAATCCAAGTATTTGGCTTCCTCTAGCCCAATCGCACATTTCAGGAGGCAAGTCAGAACTATGAATAATGACATCGTCCAGATAAGCAACTGCATACTTCTGGTGGGGTGTAGCAATCTTTCCAGGGCTCACTGAATATTATCCAGGATCTTTTGTAAGCCAAAGACTATATATATAAATAATAAGGAGCCCTCTAGTGTTAAAAATGCTATTTTATCCTTAGTGTCATTAGGCACTGGTCAAAAAACTCATCTATTCTAGGCATGAGATATGTTTAAAATTTGGTTACTGCATTTAATTTCCTAAAGTCATTACAGAACTGCCAAGTTCCGTCTGACTTTGGAACAAGGACAGTGCTGCTCACTTTTGTACTCCTCAGCAGTGGCGTAACAACCGGGGGGGCAGCAGGGGCACGGCCCCGGGCGAAAAGTGAAGGGGGGGCGCCGGCCTAAAATGGCACTTTCGGCTAAATGCCGAAAGTGACATTTTCCTGACGTTTTGTC